AATAATTTATTATAAGAGGGAGACCCCCTTAAACCCTCATTTTACTAAGGAAATCTTATACCTTTTTACAAATTACTTGTATTTAATAATTCAATATAAGGAAGAGACCCCCTTAAACCCCCCTTTTTATTAAGGAAATCCTATACTCTTTTGCGAATTACTTATATTTAAAGCAACGACGTGCTTTACGTATAGCAGCCTTACGTAAGTTACGTATAACAGCCTTACGTAGGTTACGTATAGCAGCCTTACGTAGGTTACGGGTGGCAGCCTAGCTGCCTTACGTATAGCAGCCTTACGTGCGTTACGTATAGCAGAATTAATGGCGGTGGCTGAATTAAGCTTAGCTGTTGTATATAAATTAAACGGGCCGACTCGTTCCGAGAAAAGTTCAATAGATTGACATAGAATAAAAGTCTTGGCACGCTTAAAAATCTTGCCAGATCCGTATAGAATAGTCTTACGTGACTAGATGACTAACCACTACCACAACTACTGGAATTTATCTTGGGTCACCGTAGGTGACAATAAGCATAATTGCAAATAACTTTCTTATAAAGACCCGCTGCGCTTTTGCTTCTCGAGTTAATAATGCTTCTTTTTCTTTTCGAGCCCGTATCGCCGCTGCTTTCTTTGCCGCCGCTAATGCTAAAGGTCTTTCAGCTAGCTTAAGTCTTGTTTCGGCGTTGCGCTTACTTGCTACTGCTGTTACCGCCGATCTAGCTTCGCTAGACTTGCTGCGTTAGATCTTAGCTGCAATAAATCGAAATAATACTTTATTAAATAACTTTTTTAATCGCGTAAGTATATATTGCGAGCCTTTTGTAATTTTTTTCCGATTTAACTACGATAAGTTGCTAATAAGTCTTCCTTTCGCTTATTTTTATTTTCGTTATCTTTAGCTCTTCTTGCTCTTTTTACGAAAAGGCTCCGTCGAAATGCTCGCTAAGCTTTTAATCGCGGCAATATCGATAGTTCTTTTTCGCGAGGTTTTAACTGTAATAATATTTGTAGTTCTTCGAAAGGTTCGAATCGTAGCAATATCGATAAGTCTTCGAAAAGTAAAAGCAATGCTTAAAGTGCTGCGAAAAGCTTTCGTATTATTTTATTTAACTTTAAATTATAAAGTTAAAAAGGTTTTTATCGCGTATTGTGGAGGGAAAGAGCTCCGACATATACTTAACGTCAAATCAAGAGATGTGTATGAATATAGCCATAATAGAATCGTAAGTGAATAAAAGGGGAGAAAAAAGACGATCGAAAGACACTCGAATGTATGCTATAAGTACGTGTATTGTATTGTGTAGTGATGTGATAGTAGTTCAAGGAAGAACCAACTACTCGTCTATATAAAAGCCTGCACGTGACCTAACCACGTGACTTAACCACGTGACCTAACTACGTGCTTAACAAAGCTAAAGCATGCAGCGCACTTACGTGATAAAGGTGCTTAGCATCAGTACTATATACATAGACAAAACAAATACAAAGCCTTAACTTTATTATATACGTCTTTCTTTCGAATTAGACTCGTTCTCGAATCACCTTTTATCAAAGTAATAAAGTTAGGTTTGCAAGACGAGCATGTAGCCGAATTGCATAATCGCAATACGGTCTTAAAGTACTACTTAATAATGCATCGCCGGATCGGTGTTAATACGAAGCGTATATAATATAACAAAGAAGATAAAAATAGCAACGAGAATGCAAAATAATCTTTCGGGTCCAACTCCTTTTTATATCTTTTATAGCTCTCTTATTCAACTACAAGAACAATATCAACTTGAGCGTTAGTATTATTATTAAGACAAACGTGCGCCGGTTTAAGCGGTCAAGTGGTGACGCACTGCCGAATCGATAATAGCGCGGAGCTTAAAGCGGTAACGTAATAAAAAAAACAAAAGCGGCAATATATACTCGAAGTCTTGCTATAAACAGTACTTTCTTCTTATATCAACCTTACACCTTTCTATTTTCTTTTTAGCATTACTACTTATTAACTTCATCTTTTACTATTATGTTATCGATCTGCTTTCGATGCGTAAGCTACGCAAGCAGAACTATCGATAATGCTGCGAGTCGATGCATCTTCTCCGCTAACAAATCTATCAAATGCAAGCGTTGCTGTATTATTAAGTCAACTTGCATCTTCGTAAGTTATCTTACCTTCCGTCTTATACTCGTTCTAACTTCGATTCGATAGCTCTTCGCAAAAGTCGTTAGTGCCGGCATAGTCTTGATAAATGCGATAACGATTATAAATAATAAAACTAAGACGGCCGACGACGTTTTTCGTAAAAGCACAATTGCAAATAACCTCTTTATAAAGATCCGCCGTACTCTCGCCTCTCGAGTTAATAATGCTTTTTCTTTTCTTCGGGCTCGTGTCGCCGCTGCTTCTTTTGCCGCCGCTAATGCTAGAAGTCCTTTAGCTAGCTTAAGTCCCGTCTCGGCGTTACGCTTACTTGCCGCCGCTGCTACCGCCGATCTAGCTTCGCTAGATTTGCTGCGTTAGATCTTAATTGCAATAAATCGAAACAATACTTTATTAAGTAACTTCTTTAGCTGCGTAAGTATATATTGCGAACCCTTTGTGATTCTTTTCCGATCTAACTACGATAGATTGCCGAAAAGTCTTCGTCTCTTTTATCTTTATCTTCGGAATCGCTAACACCCTCTCAAGTAAAGAAGCTCCGCTAAAGTGCTCGCTAAGCTTTTAATCGCGGCAATACCGGTAGTTCTTTTTCGCGAAGTTTTAACCGTAGCAATACTCGTGGTTCTACGAAAGGTTCGAGTCGTAGCAACATCGGTAAGACTTCGAAAGATAAAAGCAATGCTTAAGGTACTGCGGAAGGCTTTCGCACTATTCTACTTAGCCTTGAGTTGTGAAATCGAAAGGGTTTTTATCGCGTATCGGCAGCTTGCTAAATAATTAATGCAATAGATTTTTCGTATGCTCTTCTTAATCAGCTTCCGAATAAAGTCCGCTTTGTATGTATGATATGCTCGTATATAATAAGTCGAAGGCATATAAGTGTAATAACGTAAAGCTTTTTAATATAAAGAAAGAAATAAAAAGAGTATAAAAAAAAAGAAAACAAAGAAAACTAAACTTAAATAAAAAAAAAATCAAAAAATCAAATCTAAACTCGTCCTTTTCTTACGTATAGTCATGCCTTCATGACTTAATCACTCTTTATTGCTTTTTTATCACTGCTTACAAAGACTCTTGCGTATTAGCTCCGTTGCTTTTTCGTAAAGCCGGGTAATCGAATAATAAATCTATTTAGGCGCTTGATTTAAAGGCCGGACTCGGCCACTTCATTTAGTAAAAGCTATTTTAAAGATCTTTTTATTTAAAGCTTAAAGCGAAGTAATAACGCTTCGAGGGTATATCGTACGTAGAACTTCTTTAATCGACTGCTAGCAAATGTTTTATCTAGCAAAGCCTCGTCTTCTTTTAATTCTTTCAACTTATAATATCCTTTTGTATTTATTAACGAAATTTAATAAAAGCTAAGCTATCGAAAATCTAGTTTCTTAACGTTAGACATATTTACTTCACGTACCGAGTCGTGCTTAAAAACTAAGTCACTTACTTTTAAAGGTCTAATTCGAAGGTTCTTCTTACTATTAAAAGCATCTTTTCCTTTTTAACGGCAGCGAGTTTTCTTAAGTGTAGCTTTCGTAGCA